AATGGTGACATATTCTGTGTTTTTCTAAATTTGTTCGAAAAAGTATTATGTAAATGCTGCACATAATCAAAGATGTCATTATATTTTAATTGTATTTCAAGGACCAAGTTGTGTTTGTCACGATTTGGCTAAGGTTAGTTGACCCAAAAGCAGAGGCAGGGAAGCAGAGGTGAATCTCTTGTTGATTTAATCATGAGTCAGCAGAAAACAGAGGCAGGTTATCCAAAAAGAAAACAAAGTCCAAACAAACATGAAACCAGGAGTCCAAAAAAACAAAAATCAAAACATGAAAACTAGTCTAAACGTACCAGAAACCATGGAGACATCAGGGGAATCACAATCATAAGGATGAAGGCTTAGAGAGAAGGAGTTGGAGCATGTTTGATGGTATTTAACGAGGACCGAGCAAAGGGGAATTGAAGAGAGAGGGCTTTTAAAGGAGACTGAGACAAAGAGGGGGCTAATGAGGAAACTGGGAGCAGGTGTGCACAGAACAAGAGAGGGAAAGAGCTAGGGAAGAAGGAGAACATAAGAGGGCAGCAGAGAGCAACAAATAGAAACCTGGAAGACTGGAAATAACAATACAATGTTAAATTACTAGGACTATAAATCAAGGAGAAAAGAACAGAAACCAGACTAGGACAGTAACTGAAAAAAACCAAAGAACACAGCAAGTTTGAACGTGAACTTAATGACCTTTTTTTAACATCATTACACCATTATGTTGCATGGACTGCCATTTGCAGTGAAATCAATTTTCTAACATCACTTTTGATTGAGCGTAAATGTAAAATCCAACCTGAATCTGTCATTCCCCTCTGCAGGTATTCCTCAAGTTGCCATTTTTACCAAAATCGATAAGGCCTGTCCCAAAACTAAACAAGATGTGAAAGATGTTTACAGGAGCAAATTACTGCGTTCAAAGGTGGAGTTTTTTCTTCTATTTTCTGTTGTAGGGCAGGTTTGGGGAACTTCTTTAAATTATAGCTATCCCTTACAGTGTTTTATTATAAACCAGGTTTACTTTGAATGTTGTAACCAAATATCTTGTTTTAACTTTTAGATCAAGCGATTCAGTAAAAAAGTGGGGATCCCAGTGAGCTGCATCTTCCCAGTCAAGAACTACACTGAAGAGATTAAGCTTACAAATGACATAGATGTGCTGCTCCTGAGCACCATGAGACGTATCATTAACATTGGAGATGACTTTCTCAATAAAAGAAAAGATTAAGATGGTAAATGTAAAAAAAAAAAAGAAATATTAGAAAAACTGCAGAATAATGAATTACATATTAAATATTTCTGTGTTTAATCAGCATAGATCAAAGCAGTTTAGAAAAATGGAAATATGTCGATCGTATCAGGTTTGAAAGTGTTAAAAGTTAGTTTTAATAAAGGAATCATAATTAAGTATTAAATATCCATGTAAATAATTCTGAGCAAATCGTTTTGTTCTGTTTTGTTTTGTGCAGTCGAGATGTAAATACTTGGACATAACTGATATGTAACTGTGTTGGTGACTGAATAAAATTTATGTTAACCTTGTTTTACCTTGTTTAGGGGAATTTTGACAATGTGGAACAACAATTCTTGCAGCAAGTTTAAGGGTCAGCGGTGGATCAACAGCATCCTCTAATCCAGTGGTTCCCAAAGATTTTGGGGCGCGCCCCCTAGGGGGGGCGCAATGCCATTGCAGGGGGGGGGTGGGAAGGGGTATGGATAAATGAAAAAAAAAAAAAAAAAAAAAAAAAAAAAAAAAAAAAAAAAACAGCGCTTGCTTGACTGAGCATAATGGAC